TGGCCAACTGCATTGCTCCAATAGGAAATGAGAGTAAAGCCCGGGGTAGAGATACAGACTGACATCACAGGTCCTTAGAAAGCCAAAGCAGGAGGACCCCAGACTTGATCCCCAGTACTATATAAAATGGATATAGTGCCATAAGTCTGTAATCCCAGAGGTGAGGAAGTACAGCAAGGAGGACCAGGGGTTCAAGACGATGGTGAGTTTGACATGAGCCAACAAGCAAACAAATAAATAAAGCCCGAGGGTGCAGTTTAGCAGGAGACCATCTACCCCATGTACCTGTGGGGCCCTAACTTCACTGCCTCATACCAGAGAAAGAGGTAGATAGCTCTCTGAGCAAAAAGTGCCCATCATTCTCATCTTACATATCTGTTGCATCAGCACCAATGTGCCCATCACACCCTTCCTTGTCTCACACTCCCACACATTAGTGAAGTGGGTATAGAGTCCTAGGTAGAACTCTGGCTCAGCCCATTTCTTGCTACCTGACCCTGGCCATGGGAAATGATCCGGATAATTCATATAAAACTCAATGTAGTGTTACACAGAGAGAACAGGCGCTGGACAACTAGGCTGCTATCACCTCTCTGTCCTGGTCTGTGTTCCTGGTGTCAATTTGGTTCTGCCTGGAAAAGTGTCCAACTGCCCAAGTTGTCAGTCTGCCTGATGAGCCAGGTCTAATGGTCCCCAGCTGCTGTGATAGCTAGCTGTCAGTGTCGCTTCTCAGGGGAGGGGGGGACGGGGACAAGGGCAAACAGACATGACAACAGAGACATCAACCAGGAGCAAGCCTGGTTGCATCACACAAAGATACAGCACGCATGACGCAGCAGGGTAAACACAGCACAATTTGGGGGAATGATATACTCTTTCCCTCCTAAATCCCTGAAAACAACATTTTAGTGGAAAACTTTGGTCATGGTTTAGATGAGAAATGCCCTCCCATAGACTTCTGTGCTTGGATGCTTGGACCCCAGTTAGTGGATCCATTGTGAGAGGTGAGGCCTAGCTGGAGCAAGCCAGCCATTGTGTGGTGAGCCTGGATCCCACCTCTCATCCTCTCTCTGTGTTTTCTGTCTCGCTAAGATATGAAAGGTGGAAGATCCTAGCAGCATGTTCCCCTACCATGGAGTCAGTTGAGCCAACACATCTTCTCCAGTACAATGGGCTCTATTCCCTCAAACCATGAACCAAGAGAAATCCTCCTTTTAGGTTTCTTCTGTCCACTATGCTGTCACAGTCCCAGCAAAGGTTGCTAATACAAACCTCAACCTCTTTACCAGCCAGAACTTTAACAGGAAACCAAAAGGAAGGCAGGGTGGCTGGCAATGGTTTTCCCTGTGGCCACAGTTTTCTTTTTACACTTCCTCATTTTTGTCCAGGGCACAGGCATTGGCTAAATGAGAGTGAAGAGACGAAGAAGGATCCCAGTCTTGAGAAAACAAAACCCAGATGCAGGGATAAACAATGGAAAAGGTGTGATCTCTCAGAAATGACTTATGGAAGGGTGGTTTATATGCAGTCACAGAATTTGATAGAACGAATTACCAGCCTTTGTTAGGATCAAGTTCTATTCTATCCTTACAATGTCCTCACTCCTAAGGATATGTTAGCTTTCTTTGTTTTGACAGTCTTGCTTTAATCCCATCCTTCCTTACCTGGTTAGGTCTGGTCTTTCTAAAGGCCACTGGAAGCAATCATCACATCCACTGGAAACCCCAGCCAGATTTTGAGGTATCAAAATCGAAATAATATCTCTATTTGAAAAAAAAAAAAAGATAGCCTTTTCTACTGAAAGAAGAATAGATCCTGCCTCAAATGGCCTCTTTAAAAATCTGTAACTCTCATGAGTCTCCACCAGAAAAAAACAAACAAACAAAACAAACAAACAAAAAACAGTCAACTTTGCAGACGAGAAGGTGAAAATGGAAGAATTCATATTTACACATTAAGAAAAATTGGTGATTTAAGTCTTTATGCCCCTTTTGATCCTATTGTATGTTTAATGGCTGAGGCATCCAGGAAAGAACTTGAGAGCAACACAGCAGTTTTAACATTCAAGGGAGCAGATGAAGTGGCCACAATTCTTGTGACTGAATGAGAAATTACCCAGCTCAGCCCTGCCCAGGGCAACAGGACTGGATTTGGGTCAAAGAACTAAATTTCAGATCAGAAAAGAGAAGCAGAATTTTTTTTTTTTTTTTTTTTTTTTTTGCTAACAAGTAGATAATGATGACAATAATAATTCTGTCTGATGAAAGATTCCCCCAAGCTCCTTAGTCCTCATTGCATTCACTGAAAAGACAGGCAGTCAGAGGGTGAATGTCTGGGCTCAGCAAAGTTGGGCCACATTCCCAGACCCTCTGAGCTTTCCAATGGGAACTGATAAAAATCAATTAAGAAAGGATGGTGTTCTTTGCTCCTGGACCTCTTTTGTGTCTAGGTGTTTATACAACTGATAGATGGCCCAGCCCAGTCGGGATGTTCATGGAATGCTTCCTTGAAGTATTTCCTGTGCTCTGGCTCTGCTCAAAATTCTTGCATTGAAAATCAGTGAGGGGAAAAAAAATAAGTGAGTCTATTGGACAAAGCTGAAGACATATAAGCAGTGAGTAGGGGTTAAGATCTGCTGAAAAGCGGGGCTCACGGGCAGTTTCCCCACCCAATCCATCCCCATGGCAAAAGATGCTTTTTGTACCTGGGCATGGACAAACATCAGAACCAGAAATCATCATGTCTATATGATTGCATCTTGAGGACCAAAGGAGGCTGAAATTCATCTCAGAGTACAGAGACAAGATAGAGATAACCACTTGGCAGAGATAGCCAGGCAAGTAGCGTCAATACCGATCTCTTGACAACTCAGCCTCAAGAACTCCCAACTCACAAGCAAAAAACCAAAAACCTATAAACTGCATTTCTTTAAGAAGAATCCAGGAGCAGCTTGGGAAGAAGCCATGAGCATGGAGAACATGCTGCCCATTTGGCTGGCTTGTACAGATCTCGAGATTTGAGATCGATTTTTAAATTTGGAGCCATGTAGTGGTGCTGGCTGTAGGTTAAGTCCCTCCAGCAGTGACTGTTTCACTGTGACAAACCCTCTTTGCTGTAGCTTCTCAGAACCCTAAAATCCAGCCTCTTTCAACATGGCACCTTGAAATAAAGCAAACTCATAGCATACCCAAACTATAAGATGCTCATGCCGAAATACATGTGCATGCTTTCCCCAAGTACCAGGAAACACGTCAATCAAGGAGCAATATCCACATGGATGAAAGCCTAACAACTTCCCTGCCGAGGGCCATGTGCGGTAGACATGAGAGGAACGAAACAGGCCAGGAAGAATAACTTCAATAGGTGAAAATCTACAAATAGTTCGAAGGACAGAGTGCCAGGCAATGCGCACCACCTTGGGGACTTGTGACCATAACTCTCAAAGGACTTCCAACGCTTCTCAGAACTTGGATGGTAACCACCGCCTCCCCTCGCTCATTCTGATTCTCTGGAATTGAATTCAGGCCTTGAACCAGAGGAGGAATTTGAATGCACCGCTGACATCTGATACCACTTATAAAATATACTTAGATTACCGTGTGCCAGTTGCCCCAGGGGCACTCTGATGGTCTCTTAATAAACTGGGGGGGGGAAGGAGGGTGTTCAGGAGACCAGCACCACCTCTTCATCTCCAAAGTTAGCCAAGGGTTTTGATTTAATCTATTTGAGATCGGAAAGAATTGGCCAGGAATCTGGAGCTCTGTAAGTGGGAACATGTTCTCTCCCCAAGTTGCAGCCCTGGGGAACATTGGAAAGGGCTTTTTTTTTTCCGTGGGGCGAGGGCAATCTGGTTCTGCGCAATGCAATGTGCCCCCTGCAGGCTAAGGCTGGGTATAAGGGCTGGGAGGCAGGGTTGGCTTTACTGAGCATCTGACTGTCTGTGTCTGGAGCTTGGAATGCTCTTTGAGAAACGTCCCAAGTCAGGCAGGATCTTGGCCTCTCCAACCCAAGTCTCCCGGCGATACTCAGCCTCCAAGCGTGCTGTACTTGAACCACTTAAAACACTCCTTCAAAGTTTGCTACGCAACAGTGTGGCCCTGCATCTGCCAAAAATCTAGTTGCGGGGTCTGGAGACTCGCTGCTGCTGTCCCCTGCAGAGTATCTGTGAGCAAATGGCAGTCATCAAACCTTCCAGCCAGGGCCATCCCAAGGACCAAAGTGTCACTTGGATGAGTCGGATCTGGGAGAACTCCCTTCTTCCCTGTGTTACCTCCCTCTCCCAGCTCCCTAGCTTCAGAACCTAAATCAAAGATCCTGGGACATTTCAAAGAGCATCGATGAAAAACTTTTGGTGGGATGACCTGGGACATCATCATTCCTGGCTGAAATTAACTTTTGCCTTTCAGATTTCTGTAGGAGCTTGGATTTAGGGGATGTGAAGGGAGAAGAGTGAGTGCCAATGAATAAAGGGGGAAAGAAAATGCATTGCATACCACGACCAAGCCAAACCAAGCTTGACATTTCCAAATTATATTGGCAAACGCATGCTTTCACAAATCGTTTGTTCTGTCTTTTCCTAGAGACGAGAGAGAGAGAGAGAGAGAGAGAGAGAGAGAGAGAGAGAGAGAGAGAGAGGTCTGGATTCAAATATCCTAACCCTAGACTAGTAAATTGTGTCAGTGGGATGCAATCTTAAATCCTGTACAAAAAGTCTAACACTTTGTCAACACGCGTACCAACACCTCCAAGCCAAAAGTTGTAAGGCTGGAGGCAGCTCCTTAATCAGTTTCATCATCCCCTGGCCCTGGATGGGTGTAGGGCTCTAGGTTGAACCCACAGCATCCAGTTCCTATGGATGCATCTTACAGGACTCGGGGGGGGGGGGTTCTGGGATAGGTAGAGGTGTACATCTCTGAAAATGGGCCAAAGCATCACCTTGGCTACTTCAGCCCAACAACTCCTCCTCCAGGCTGGCCCCTAGCCTCTCCAGTGCCCCTTACCTGCAAGCGCTCAGTAGCCGGCTGCCACATCTTCCAGCCTTGGGGTTTTGGCAGCAGAGATGCAGGCGAGACTCTCTGGATTGTGCCGGGAAGAAGAAGGGGCCGCGGGTCCCGTTGTCACATCTGGGGTCAACGTCTGCTGAGCGTCCTGGCACCGGCCGCAGCCGGTGGGCACAGGGGCTAAGAACGGGACGAGGTGGCGCTCAGCTACCGGCAACTTGTGGGCTCCGCTCCGGCCGCCAGTCGGTGCGGTGCGCAGCTCAGACGATTGCGCAGCTCCGCCCGGGCCCCAGCGCCACGGCCGCTCCCTCCTCCCCCCGCCACCACCCGGACCTGCGCGCTCTGAGCATGCCCGGGCGGCGTCTGTAGGGGGGGAACCAGCGCCCTGGGCTGTAGGGTCTGCACCCCGCAGACCCCCGGCAGCCAGCAAACCCTAGAGAGGGACCAGCACAGAAGCAAGAAGCTGGTGAAGCTCCTACTTTGGGATCTGGAAGACAGCACAAAGTGGCTGGGGAGGAAGGGCCTGGTGGAAAGAGAGTAATGCCCCACCGGGTGTCATTCAGTGGGAGTCTCTGTATCACTTGGGACATGCATGGCATGATGTTAGGGAGACACTTCCATCCCTTAGGTTAACTGAGTGCCCTTTATACTGTCCCTGCTCTTCTAAGTTCCTGAGATATGGTGGTGCTCAGGAGAGGACATCAGCATACCCCTCTCCTGTGCTTGCATTGCATGAGGAAGGAGGAAAGACCCACTGGAAGTGCTAGGAAGAAAAAAGCAAAAGCGCTGCCGTTTGGAGAAAAAGCAGAGGACAGTGTCCTCAATGGGGCCATTGGAAATGTCTGCAGGAAGACTTGAGGATGAGAGAGATTTGCATGGTGTGGAACTCTGCTGGATAAAGGAGCTGGCAGCCTGAAGAGAAACTCTGCCACATTCTACCTCACCAACAACATTCATCCCCAGTTCTTCCAGGGGCCAACGGGAGATCTTGGAAGCCATGGGGACACAATAAGGGCTTCCCAGGTCCGGAGGTCCCCAAGCTAGTGCTAGTCTTCACAAAGCACCTGTGCAGGCCTTCTCTCCCCCATCCCCTGGGCATTTCCACAAGATCAGTGTGACTATCCCCAGAGTGTCAGTGGAACTGAGGAGTGTGGAGTTGGGGTCACCTGTCCAAGTTACAAAGGCCAGAAACTGGCTTGAACTCAATCACTCAGCTGCCATGGAGGTGGGAGCTCCACACCAAGAATACACTTTGGGGACACAAATCCCATCTAAGATAGGGGAAGTAGCTGGGTCTGAAGCTGAGAAAGAATGAGAACAAGATGTGCGGAAGAACTTCTGAGGCAGAAGAAAGGGGGGGTGGAGAACTAGCCCCAACTACTGCGAGGGAAGGTCCAGAGACCAGCAGGGTTGGTATGAAGGCATTATGAGACCTCACATAGCCTAATTACCCATGTGAACTCAGCATCAGCTCCTGGGCAAGGAAGAACTCTCCCTCATCCTGCATGGCTTTCCACAGAACAAAGTAGTCCAGAGTCTACTCCTCAACTAGATAGATGCCCCATTTCCCAAGGTTCACAGAGCCATGTGACAAGGGCATCTGCTATTCAGACCCAAGGCTCCAGGCTTTTGGATCTTGAAGTCACTATATGATATAAGTCCCAGGTAAACCCAGCACCTTACTTGTCCCACTGAGCCAATGGCAAAAGCACAGTTGCCACAAGCTGGTATTTGTCTCACTAGACATCTGCATGGCTCTCCTGCTAACTTGGACCTTCTCAGCCCTTCCTGAGTCCCAGATCCTTACTCTGGACCAGACTTGAAACAAAAACAAAACAAACAAACAAACAAACAAAAGTCCCTACTCACCCCACATAGGTAGGTGCCTGTGTGGAAATGTATCTTTTGGATTTGCTGATGTGGTTGGCCCCTTAACTTTCAGATGAGAATTTTTTCATTTTTCTAATAACTAGTCCCCCCCTGCATACTCTTAACACCTAGCAAATTTCTGGTAAAATACATCCTTCTGATCTCCTACTTCTCCTTAATCACATCCCTAAATTGAAAGAGATGCACTTCATTTAATAAAATTTAGAAACTCCAAACATACACATGAAACCCCTCTGGCAACTAAAATAGGAATCTTCAGTTGCCCCCATGTCCTCAGACAAGCTTTAAAACCACCCTTAGTTGCAGATACTTCCACAGGAGGGGGAAAAATGATTTTGTTTTAAATAGCTGCCAGATGAGATAACAGCCTAAATTCAAATCGCATTAGAGTGTTAAATCCCTTCTTCTCACCTCCGAATGTAATTAATTGTTATGACTCAGTAATGCTGCCTCTAGTTGTGAGCATGGTGCTATTTAAAGAAAAAGAGGCTTCAGCTTCAGCTCAGGGGAGAATGCTCTCAGTCACCACCAGTCCCTACTTAGTGGAGCTGAGGATGTATTTATACCCAAATCACCTGTTCCAACTTCTCCTGGTCAGTTAATCGGGAAACTGGGTGATTGGAGAAAAGGGGAGCAGGACAAAAGGGATGACTCCCACTCTAAGGTTTTCCAAGTGTTCCCATTCAGGAGGAACCTGCAGAAGAGGGTGAGTGAAACAGAGCCATCTACTGGCCAGAATTGGGATGTGCATGTAGGTCCCTCCCAGCAAGGCCCTGGTACTTGGAGATAGCCCATCATGATCATTCAGAAAATGCTCCTTAAAGGGGCAAACAGGTTTGTTCTTGGCAAGGGACCATTCCTGAAGTATGCAAAAGGTGCTTGGCTGCTGTGAGGGAAAACATCGGATACATAAGTATGTGCCTAATTCCATGTGTTTAATCACTGCCAATTATCTAAGCAGGTCCAATCACGTTACTAAAAACAAGTTCAAAGAAAATGACAAAGGGGAGAAAAAAAAAGACATGTGACCCACAAAATCATTGTAAACACCTTAGCAGCTTTACTAAACCAAATTCGATCTAATTCAGAGTTCTAAGTCCTAATCTAAGCAACCTAGATGGTCACATCAGGATAATGATAAAACAGCATACCAAGCATGCCAAGTACACCAAAAATGTGTTAAGATACCATGTAGTCACTAAGACCACAACAGTGAAGTGTGGGAACTAAGAAGCATTTAGGATACAATTATGTCTTTAAAGTAGTAAAGTAAATAAAAAGGCATAATTTTAATACATATATAAAATATATGTGAATCAGAATAAACATTGGAAATAAGCTAGAAGACTGGGAAGACTCATGTTGGATCCTGGCCTTCTAAATCCCTTCCATCCCTAGTGAGTGATTTGCCATGCAGAAATCTGTAGATAGTAATAATATGGCCCAATTCTTAGGATTATAATGTACAATCTGTCCTGCTATGGTAGGTATACAGAAAACATCAGTTTGTGTCCCTGTTATATTTCTTTCCCTTTTTACTACCGGGGAAATAAGATTCTCATGAAGTAACTCCTGCTTCCCAGGTTAAGCTATTACCACTTGAATTATTTGTAGATTTCATTATTCCATTTAGTTTCTCAAATAAAAATGACAGCCCCATGAAAGAAAACTTACAGTTATAATTTAAACAGATGCCCAGGGAAGTTTGTTATGGCTGTATATTTAGCAAGAGTGAGCATAAGAAAGTCCTTCTTGGCAGTCTTTGATGATTCCCCCATAGAAGGCCTCATCCTTTCTTTGGAGCAGAAGAATGGGATGGGGGTCAGTGGGGGGGGGGAGGATGGAAGTTGGTGGAGAGTGGGAGAATGCGAGGAAGAGGGAACTGGGATTGATATATAAAATAAGATTGTTTCTAATTTAAATTTTAAAAATGAAAAAATAAACAAAAAAGGATCCTTTCAGGGCTTCATTGACCTTATTTCCAGTTTTAAAAATATGAATATTTAAAAAAAATCAGAAATCTCAGGGGCTAGAGAGATGTTTCAGCAGCTAAGAGAAATTGCTGCTCTCCTAGAGGGCCTCTGTTCAGTTCCCAGCATCTACATCGGATAGCTCAAAATTGCCTATAACTTCAGCTCTATGGAACCTGATGCCTTCTTCTGGCCTTCTTAGATATTTGCATACAGAGGGTACATACTCACTTAGATGCACAATATATACATACATAGAAAAATCTTTAAAAAATAATAAGATGCATTAAACCATTAACACCTCCCTGTAGTGACAGAGCCACTGGCTTTTGTTCCTAAACTAGTGGCAGGTATTTATTGGAAGATTAATACAGTCCTTTCTTCCTTTAAAAGCAAACATTCATTGTGCATCTTTTCAAATTTAGTTAAAAAGTAAGGGATAATTACTGAAACACAATGGCTTGTGATCCCCTTGCTCTCCGGTCAGTCTTAAGCATTTGACAGGTAAGTCCCAAAGATAGCCACAAGTCTCTCTCTACCCAGAGAGCCATGCCCCTGTGCAGTATAATTTGCCTATTTCTCCCATCAAGAGTCCTTTGTGTGTGTGTGTTGTGTGTGTGTATGTGATATGTGCCTGTGTGAGCAGAGGCATATGTAAAAGAGTCAGAGGCAAACCTTAAGGGTTGGTCTTTCTCTTTCACTATTTTTGAGATACATTCTTTCTTGTTTGCTGCTATGGAAACACTATCGGCCTGCGGAAGTTCTGAGGCTTTTTCTGTCTCTACTTGCCCCCTTCATCCCCTTGTGGGTGTAGACAGGGATTGCAGACCCATGAGCTACTATGTTCAACTTTTTATGAGTTTGGGAGCATACTCAGAGCGTCATGCTTGCTCTCTCCACGAGGTGGGACCTACCCAGCCTCCTTCATTCTTCCAATCACATGTGATTTAGCTGGCCAGCTTAAATGCTGTATGCATGGATGTCCAAACGTAGGGTCCCAAAGATCTGGCAGCTCTGCTCTCACCTTCTTGGAACCAGCAAGTATATTGTAAGGAAGCCAAGACAAGCCTTTTAATGACGAGAACCCCAGAGGGAGGCCACGTCAAAAGGGAGCATTCCTGGCCAAACATGTGTAAGTTCAACTTAGAATACACAGCTCCAGCTCTTAGAAGACAACAGCCATAAGAGTGATCTTCGGGCATGACGGCATAAAAACTGCTCAGCTAAGACCCTCCCAAAT